TTTGCAAAGCCAAAAATCAGTAAATTTTGTTTGCTTGAATAAATTGGGGAGCAGGGAGTGTTGCCCTTTGGAGGTGTCTCTCTGCTCATCTATGTAAGAGATAATCACATAGGAGATTGGAAGATATTGGGAGTGTAAAGCCTTCATTGGAATATACAGAAGTCTGCATCAGGACCATTGCATCAGAGCAGAACAGATGCCCAGACACTTTCCTAACTCTCCCAAGGTGTTTCAAAAGAAGGCTCCCAAAATTCTGAGMAAATTTCCCAATCAACAGGTCTTGTGTCTTTCACATCAAAGGCATTAAGACTCTTCCAGTGTCCCACCCAGCCTTGATTATGGTCCCAAACACCCGAAAATGAGGGGAGGGGTGGGATATCAAGTGATTTGACACCTGGGTCACACAATCTGTTGCAAAGTCTCTTGTTGAAGCACCGTTTTGAAAGAGCTGTCCCTGATCCCAACTTGCAATATCTACAGTGCTTTACAAGATGKGACAAGTCCTTCTAAAGACAACAGGTGCACAACAGAGCAAACCTGAGCAGTGAAAAGTGCTTCCTTTTGAGATACTGATTATACACTTGCCTAGAACCTCATAATAATTAGGGGTCCCGTTATTCTAGAACAATTTGCAGKTCTGTGACCCAAGGATGAGTCACAGCAAATCTATTAAGATCATGATTTTGTGATTTTGCTATGAGATGCCATTTTTTTCAAAATTGCCTATGCTGCCCTTAGCTCTCAGATTTCTTTATTTTCTGTTATACACCTTGGTTTCTTTTTTTGGAAGGGTAGAAAACAGTTCTGGATTCCTAGAGAGGGGATTAAATGAGAAGAAAGTCTTTGCTTTCTGCAGAGTTGTCAAGTAAAAGTTTATTGGACTTGACAATAAAGTTTTAGTGAAATTTGAAAYACCTGCAAATACAATGTATCCTCTACACACCAGAGTCCCCCACCCACACCAGTTTTTAATTAYTTAAAAATGAATCATACCTTTGAGYATCCARCAATATTTAGGGCCTGTGTGCAGTARATTAGTTGCTTAATCTGTTGTTTTTCAGATAAAACCAGCTCTTGAATAGAATCAACTTTGCAAATACCCTCAAGAAACAAAASTGGAGAGCTGAACTAAGCACCCTTACAACACATCCCCCTTGCTCACAGCAGGCATGGGGAAGTTTGCATTGTTATGGCAGATAATTACTCACGGCAAGAGGATGGGAGAATCTTGTTCTAAATTCTGCCCTACTGTAATGCTAAATTAAAAACACTGGTAAATTCCTTTGGACAGTTAGGATTTTCTGATTTGCAGAAAATGCATGTGTGTAATTTTGTGATAGAAAAAATGGTGCTAAGTTTGGAAGTGCAAAAGTTAGTTACACTGGGTTTAAACCAGTTAGTTATATTGGTTCTTTYTGTTAGAACAAAAGCCTTTTTTGTACTAATGTGAGGAACAAGTTCAAGGGACAAGCCTGGAACAGCTTGGGCTGAAAAGCCCTTATCTTTTCAAAATTASAGAAACACGATATGCTATATTACATAGGAGAGAATCACTGTACTCTTAATGAATTTTGTATTTGTTCTCAAGATAAGGGGGATGAAATAGAAGAGAAAAAAATCATTTGTCTGGAAAGGAGATATAAAGTATACTCAAACCATTTCTACATGCAATTTTATCAGCTCATTTCGTGGCCACTTGCCACTCTCAGATGCTCTCAATAYACTGTATACCAAAGGCAATACTGCTGACACTGAGTTCTGCCACTGCCAAACTGCATATTCATTATTGTTCATAGTCATGTGAGGTCAAGTTCGGTCACWGCAAACAAAGAACCTTTGTCTGGATCTTTACTCCCTCCTCACACAGTTTTTGGTTTCCTAACTTTTGTAGCACTCCCCAAGTCAAAAATKTCTTTCTAAAGAGGATGCTGTGTACTCTTTTGTAAACATGTCTCCATTACTAAAAGTGACATCATGGGAATCGCTGGAAATGAGCTCGGAGAGCAGACCCAGGGTAGAAAAGTTGTAAAAAGAAGTCCCCTTGTCCCTTCTCCCTCCTCCTCCCCACAGCATTGTCCAGCAAACAGGTACTTTGTTGAACTCCACTGGAAGCTTCATGAGGAATTTAAACATGGGAAGGACTAATCATTATTTTAGAAAAAAAGAGTCCTGCCAGCTCTTTCTCCTCTGCAGGCTGCTATGCACGAATGTGGTCAGCAGCTTATTCACACAAAGCCAGGGTTCTGCTCATTTGCCATCATATGCAAATCACCTCCCTGGACTCATTGGCACGGTAAACACTTCGGTTTAAGCACTTTCAAAAGATGGATTGCAAAACTCAGGCATGCTCCCACTCCTACTGAGATCAGTGGCAAGCCTCCCATTGGTTTCACTGGAAGCAGGATAGAATCTCCCTTTTCTGCAAGCRAAACCCAGCGGTATTTGAGCTTTTTGGAGCACATGCAGCTCTGAAAGTCTGTTCCTTTGGGGCATTCCAAAATCTTTCCCATTTGCTTGATTCCATGGCAACACAACATCACCACCAAGCTTTCAATACTGAAATGAGATTTTACTACTAAGMCTGAGGATTTATACAAGTGTAAAAAATCTTGCTAAGCTGCAATTCCCATTAGACTAATTCAGGATCCTTTTCAAATGAGTGACAAAACTATCTCTGGATTTATTTTACAAGACGCCAAGAATTTTTTAAGGTTAGAAAAATAAGAAAACTGCTCTATAATCATAAAATAAACATTYTTTTATTATTACACAGAATCATTATGTTTCAGTGAAACACTGTATCTATTTACTATCCTTTTCAAGACAGTCTAAAGAATAGCCTGAGCAGTTTTCTCATAATTGATACTAAAATCAGGCTCCAGAGACTGCATAAAATTATGATAAAGCCAYTGAGGCTTTTCTTCTGGTTTTTGTATTACTTATATCACAGAAATAACTGTTTTGCAACCAGAAAAAAATATGCCAGTGTGTAAGTGTACAATGAAAAAACATGGCAAAAGCTCCATATTRGGTTTCAAATGTACTATAGTTCATCTTTTATAGAGGGAAATAAAGCAGACAACTGGCTTTACACTTAGTGGCTGAGTTTGCTCTGAATTACATCATAGCACACTGAAATCCAGTGCCCTCTTTGATCCCCTATTTTTATGAGAGGAAGAGTAAAACAATAAAAGTGATTCCACACCTAGAGAATTGTGTGTAAACAGTACTGTGGGTCTTATAAAATATCTACTAAGAAATTCCAAAATAACAATACAATGCAGTGAAACAAATTATTTCATGTTAGCAAGAATTTCAACTGCCTTAAGTTTCATGCATTTTCTTAGGCTCTACAGATAAGCAYTCATTACTATCTCTGCTATATTCAGCTTTCAAGTAATCCAGCTGTTGAATCATCTCCTCCAATGTGATTTCTAAGATGATTCAAACTCTGATTTCCCATTGCACGTAGACACACAATGGAAGTAACGATCAGGATGCAGCATTTCATTGGGACTTTGTTTCTGTGATTTGCTCCTTATACAAAGAGAGTTACAAAAACACACGATGCAACACTGTATTTCACTTTTCTGAGTGGAATTCAGAACTTCCCCTTTCGTTGTTTCCAACACCCCTGGGTCAAACACCAYGCAACCCTGAGAGTGGGATGTGGCCCTGCTGCGGGTCAGGATCAAAGCCAGGCATTTCCATCTCCAGCCACAACTGAGGCAATGAGCTGTTCATTGTGCAAGCAAAGCCGAGATGAGGATGTAGTGACAGAGATCACAGATGTGACAGTGGCACTGTGACTGTCAGTGGAACACTCACAGCCTCCTGGCTCGGCTCTGATTAGCGAAGCAGCTACAAATCCTCTTAGCTGCAGCAGAGCCAGCTGAAAGCAGAATCTGTCCCCTCTCTCCCAGCTGACCTTCAACAAATCACTCCAAGGAAAAGTTGWCATCAAGTCAAAAGCTTTGTTATAAAGCTGGACAGCTACGGGCTTTTATTTCAGAAGTRGCCAGAAATTCTGGATACTTTCCTTTTCAAGACCAAAACTAGAATGTGAGTGTTTGGCACTACTTCACCAACTCTCCTTCACCAGAACTCACAAATTTGAAATTCCTGGTCCAGTATATGAGAAAATGCGTGAAAGCTTTAGTTGGTGAATGTGCTCTAAGAAATACAATTAGAAATAGTCCTTTCTTTATACAAAATGTGGTGTTTTAGAGAACTATTTGCTATACAGAAATTCTGCACTGCTTGTTACACAGAAATATAAACTTTATAWGAGTTGTACATTTCACTAGTAATACTATTACTGTATTTTTAATTTGAAAAGTGATGTCTTTTATTCCAATGTCCACATTGCAACAAAATCAAGTACCTTCTCTTGCTAAAGGAGGAAAATTCTGACTCAGAATCCCTTCTGACCCACAAACTGCAGAATGTTCTTTGTAAACGATCAGTTCTAATACTCCAGWGGTATTCCCTGGAGGCACTCAGTTGTGGGAACTAGGGCAGTTCCCCTATGCATGCAGCAGCTAGGTTTTTGTCTATCACATCTTACGCATTTTCTTTTATGTGTGAAAGGCAGTTGTAATTCTTAGTTTGCAATTCTCATTTGTAATAATTTCAAAATAACATCTAGAAGGAAGACCTTAAGCAGAAGACTACCACCTCGTGCTACTTAAACTTGTAAGCAGAGAATKTGCATTAGCATAAATGTATCTTTTATTTTGTCACTTTATTCCTGTATTGCATTGCTATGATTTGGACATTCAAAGAAGAAATGTAGGCACGAGCCTTCCCCACTGGGCTGTAACTCAAGCCACAGAGAAACTGTCTTTTAATAGACCAAGAATGCCAAAGCCAAAAAATACTCTCGCCCTTGTTTGGCTACATGCAGCAATCTCAATCAACATTTACTTTTGCGCTCAGTAAAAGGCAAACTGGCACTGCCGCAAGGCCGAGCTAGCAGATCGATACCTGTCCCGAAATTTCTGCAATTGTTCTCAGCGGCAACTCTGAGTCGCTGCGAACCCATCGAAACACCACTTCACATCACTTTTCCAGCGTTTTCCCGTTTAGCAGCTCAGATTTTAGAGCGAATCAGCCGTGAGTCGCTGCTCTCGCCGGGMTGGGGAGGGGGCCGGGGAAGCGGCTGTTGAACCATGGGGCGGCCGCAGAGGCTCCGGGCAGGGCTGGGCACGGTGTGAGGGCGGGAGGGCAGCGCCGGGACCCTGCGGCCGGCGGGGCCGGTGCCGGTGCTGGAGCCGGGCAGGGCCGGGCCGGGCGCTCAGGAAGTCGCGTCAGGCTCGGCGCCGCCACGAGCGCGGCGGGCGGGCTGGGCAGCCCCGGAGCCCGGGACGCGAGCGGAACCCGGGTCGGTGCCGGGAGCGGTGCCGGGAGCGGTGCG